AGAACTTCTTGCTCAGGTCAAATGTATCCCCATTGGAGCAGGATACTTCTACAATTGAATCATGGGTCTCATTCAGCACAGTAATTACAGAAACAACATTTGGGCTTAAAATATGGAACATCGGAGTACCTCTTTCAAATATGCATCATAACAAAAATTATTTTTATTAGCATCCCATAGAAAACCCCAGCATATCTTTGCATATTATGAATTGTAGATATATAAGCCTTTTAAAATGTGCTAACATAGGACCTGAAGAAGGAGAGACTACAAACTGTGAACTGATTGGTAAAATGACTGCATTGACTTTACATCCAAGATTAGAAAGATTTATGAGTTTTAGTGGAAGGCTCATTTGAAACAATGGAATTAATTTGAATGCTTCAAAGTCCAAAATGTGAAATGACTGAAAAATCTGACATGTGTTTAGCGTAGTGCTCTGGATTTCATCCTGTCTTTTGTCTACTTTGCAAAGAGAAAATATATATAAAGAGGTGATGCCATATGATTGTGGGATCAGAATTCCATCAGCGTTTACTGTTGTGTGAAAAGAAAAGCAGAGAAGAAGTTCCCAGATTCTCACTTCACATATTTTGACATATACTTTTGATACAACTCCTGTGTGTGGAGTTTGTGTATCCTTCACTTGGTTCCAAAACAACAATGAAAGCAACTTATGAAACCATATAAATTAAAACTCCAAGTAAAATAAGCAATAAATAAGGGTGGGATGAAACACAAAGCCAGGAATGATGTCAAAACATGCACACCACAAGAACCTATACACTTAGTATGGGTGGGGGACACGTTTGGCTCTGGTTTACGATCAGCCAACACAGAAAGAAAACCTGGTTACAATGTCACAAAATAAATACAGTTGCTCAGGAAAAATATTAGTCTTTTTTTTTTTTTTAACATAGAGAACAGACTTTTTTCCCCCAGAGTTTTAATAGAGGCTACTCTATGATTTATTAAGCAATGTCTAACAATACTCTTACTATGCACAGCAGAAAGTTTCATTGTTGATTCTTATGGTGGACTTGAATGTTGATGATGGCATTATACCAAAGTCTATCTAAAAAGATATTTTGGAGTGTACCAATCTTATTGTCAAGAAATGTGAAGGGTTGGGATTTTACCCTATGTTCACGCTAGAATGCACAGTTCACTTCATGCTGGCAGGAGACATAAGATTCCAGGGTCAAAAACAAAGGACAGTTTATTCATTCACGACAACAGCATTAGCCAGAATATCAGCATTTGTTCCCATTCTAGGAGCTTAGATTCCCTCAGGGCATTGCAAAGAGGTATGGGTGATTCCTACACAGAGGTCAGAAACCCTGAACTTAGGGAACTTGACTCTTTGATAGTAGGATATGAGCATGTGTTCCCTTTGCCCCAGAAGGAAACGTTACCTTTTATTCTGAGGGACAGTTAACAAACTTCTATCTTCCAAGGCTGTTTCCTATATAAACGTCTTTGAAAAGATAGTCTGGAGAACAGGAAATCAATACTTTTGCTTATAATATACACAGAAACATGAGGGTCCCTTGGAGAATTGTCCCCCAACAACTGTGCATTCCAGGGCATAGTCTGGCTTTCCCTAGCTTGATCCCTTTAGACTATTTGGAGGATTTGATGGATTGTTTCATTTGACACTTACTCATCATACTGCATCCTTATTATCTAGGCACCCGCAACCGTGATAAACAAGCATGGATCATACCTTCACAGAACACAGAGAAAATACAAATATATTTTATGTGTTTTTCCAGCAGTTATTTCTGAATGTCCTCCCAACAGAGATATTTGTTTTTGGGAATAGAATTTTTTTTTTTTAAGATTTTATTTATTTATTTGACAGAGATCACAAGTAGGCAGAGAGGCAGGCAGAGAGGAGGGTAGGGAAGCAGGCTCCCTGCCGAGTAGAGAGACCAACATGGGGCTCGATCCCAGGACCCTGGGATCATGACCTGAGCCGAAGGCAGAGGCTTAACCCACTGAGCCACCCAGGCGCCCCAGATTTTATTTTTGTAGAGCAGTTTAGGATCACAGCAAAATTGAGTGGAATGTGGAGAGATTTCTCACATACCTACTCTGGCACATGCAGAGATACACCATATACCCTTTGCCCTCCTCATTACGAATATTCCACACCAGAGTTTGTTACAAATTGGTTACATTTGTCACAACTGATGAACTCACACTGATATATCATTATCATCCAGAAATCCTATTTGACATCAGTGTTTACTTAGTGTTGTATAGTCTATGAATATTGGTGACAATTCAATATTGTCATGGAACTTCACGGTTTTTTTTGTTTTGCTTTGATTTGCTTTTTTAAATTTACTTGTCAGAGAGAGAGAGAGAGCACATTCAGGGGGCGTGCCAGACAGAAGAAGAGGGAGAAGCAGGCTTCCCAGTGAGCAGGAAGCCCAACCTTGGGACTTGATCCCAGGACCCTGGGATCCTGACCCAAGCCAAAGGCAGATATTTAACTGACTGAGCCACCAAGGTGTCCCACACTTTTTCCCCCCAAGATTTTATTTATTTGTTTGAGAAAGAGAGAGAGAGAGCAAACACAAGCAGGGGGCAGAGGGAGAAGCAGGCTCCCCGTGGAGCAGGGAGCCCTATGCGGGGCTGGAGCCCTATGCGAGGCTCGATTCCAGGACCCTGGGATCCTGACCTGAGCCAAAGGCAGACGCTTAACCGACTGAGTCACCTAGGCACACCATGGAGAATCACATTTTTATATTTATGGATAAATACAGACACAAGTGCCTGCAGAGACATTTGAACCAGGGCTTAATGTCAGCATTCTTAAGAGTGCTTCTGGAACATTTGTACCTCCTCTTTATGTGGGGACTCTGACACGACCACAAATTTCCCGTTCTCAGCAAAGGTGGATAACCTCCTTTGACATGGTCCATTTCTTGAGGATGTTCCTCCTCCCTGGTCTGAGGAGACCTCTAATGCCTTAACATCTGCATTGAATGCTCCTTGCCTTACTAGCTAAGGTAATTTTTCTGGACAAAACAGTTGGAGATTGCCCTCTATTTAATTAGCCCCCCAGTCAGTTCCAAACTGCCAGGACTGGTTGCTAATGATCGGACTTAGCCTGAGGGCCAAGTAGAGGCTGACTCTTGAATTCCATTACCTAACTCTGGGACCGGCCCCTCACTGTTGGAGGAACCAGCCTTCTTTTCAGAATTTCTGCTGGTTTTTTTTTCCCCCCCTCAGAAAACCTGTCTTTTCCTGCTAGCACAGTGGCCTCACTGGCTTACGTTGATGGCACTGGCACATAGAAGCCAAGACCGCCGTGCCAGCTGGATGAATGTGCAAACTTGGGTTTGCGAGAGCTGCCTATCCAAGTGAAAAATTAGAGATGAAAAAGACCTGTTAAATAACCCAATCCCTTCCGTAGCCGGTGCCAGAGCATTCCTATGGTGAGAGCTTAGACCTGGCTGGCTCCAAATGACTTTAACAATGTGCCTTCTCACGCTTTTTTTGGAAGATGGGGCGTCTCTTCAATTTTTCTTTTGGTAACTTTTTTGAGTAGAATTTTATTTGACCATCATTATTCCACTTTCCACTCAATGTTCGGGTTCAGCTACAGCAAACCCATGAAACGAGCTATTTTCAGAGTCAATATAAATGTTTGGATGGCATTTCGAGTACACTATTAACCCATTTGTTCCCGTGACGTGTCTAGATTGCGGGTGAGGGAGAGAGGAACTGTGCGGACTTAGAGACCGACAAGTCCAGTTAGAATCATAGTTCTCCTTAACTGGGGGCTTTGTTACTGTCATTATTGTAGTTTTCAGTGGCTGTCCTTTATAATATGCTTTTTGTATGCCAGGTGCTATGGTAAGTACTGTCCTGCTAGCAAATTTATGAAATTGGTACTATCATCTCTGGTTTAGAATGGAAAGTTTAGCAGTTAAGAGTGGAGGCTCTGGAGTTAAATTGCCAGATTAAAACGTCAGCTCAGTTGCTGACACGCACTATGACCTCACGCCTTTCACTTAACCTCTCTGTGCCCCATTTCTCTGTCTGGAAAATGTGGATGATGACTGCCTGCCTGTTAGGTTCTTTTGGGGGAAGAAATGGGTTAATATGTGTGAATTGATCAGACCAGTGCCTCACAAGGAGCAAGCCCTTGAATTTACACAATATTGATGAGATATAGATGGAGAAATTTGCTCAAAGGCACAGAGCATCCAGATTTAAACTGCAGTCAGTTCTGCCTCAGAGCCCACCAAAATGATTAGCCATTAGAATTCCCCAATGTGGTCAGGAGACTTAACCTCTCTGAACCTCACTTTTTCTCACTGGTAAAGTGGGAATAACACTGTGTCTCCTGTATAGCCACTGTGAAGATTACAATGCAATCATATAGATAAGAACACTATTCCAGAGGCTGGCCAGAGCTAGGGATCGATTAGCAATAGCAATTTCTCCATTTCTACACTCAGATCTCTAGAATAGATGGACGTATGTATCTGTGTGTGTATATACACTTATATACATACCTGTGTTATGTCTAACGAATTGCTATCTAACCAATGACTTACTCTTAAAAATTTCTCGTGATATTGGAACTTCGGAATGGTTCAAAGTGTACTGTTACAAGTTTACTCCCATTTAAAAGAAGAATTGGATTGTTTTACTAGATAATTAAAAACAGTTTCCTTCTTAATAAGGTTTTATTCTGTTCCAGTGGTTTGAGGTATGCCTTTCTAGATTTTTAAAAGTAGTTCATCAAATGGTTAAGAGCAGCCTAAGTACCTTTTCTTTCACATATATAGATTGACGAAAATTTCAATGTTTATATCACAGAGAGAACAGACAGTTACAACCTAGCAGAGAGAAATGTGATGGTATGTTTTTGCTGTTGTGCCTTTTTTTTTTTTTTTTTTTTTTTTTTTGGTGTGTGTGGGAAAGGGTGTGATGTCATTTTGTCTCCACCCCCTGTGAGTAAGCCCACAGCAGAGCTAAGTGCAGCCGCCCGCCTCTGTCACTGGGAGACAGTCCACTTAAATGCGGCTCCAGGGTTGCGGGAAGCCCACCAGCATCACTCCCCGTGTGAGGTGGCAAATGCAACATGCTGTCCAGCTTGGGGTGTCTGCTTTTCTGTGGAAGTATTGCACTAGCCCTGGGAAATGCACAGAAATTGCCAAAAGGCAAGTAGCTCTGCTGTTTTGTGTTTTAAAAATAATTTTTGAGAGATACTAGTTTTTAAATGTCGAAATTAAGTGTGATCTGCTTTACCAGGTTGGGGGGGAATACAGTTCTTCTGAGTCAAAGTTCAGATGTGTGAAGCAGTTGCTTTAACTTTTACCTTTTATTTACCCCCTCTGTTATTTACTTTTCAGTTGAATCTCTTTAATGCAAAGATGAAGACCAACTTCTTAGGTTTAACAGGTTCACAGTAGCTTGAATGCTGTAGATTCAAACTATAGTATTTGTATATTGAGTCTTGGTAGATGGGCATGGTAGTCTATTAAAAAGTGTTGTTTGGTGTTTTATTCCCCTTCCCAGAGATTAAACCAGTACTGGCTTTAGGTATAAAGGAAGCGGATTCTGAAACTTTGGATGGTGTAAACTTCACGCGTACTTGCTAACTTGGGGGTTGAGGGACTCAAGCAGGGCACAGCAAAGTACAGTCATGTGCTAATGTGTAGACACTTCTCTCCAGGGGAGTTTGGAAGAGGGTTTGATCTGCTGGATGGGACACTCCCCCTTTTCCTGGCTAAATTGCTCTCATTTTAGTGTTGGTATTTTGTTTACAAATGCCATCAAAAGAAAATTAACCTTTCTAAATTTAGACCCTAAAAGTCTTTTGCGCCTATCAGCACTGCCACAAGAGCTTGCCTCTCTCCTGTCTCTGAACATAAACATTGCATGTACTCTTTTGTTCATCTGCAGAGGCATTTTCTAAGCCAACTGCAGGTCAGGGAAGGCTTTTTATGGCTGCAGACTGTTGTAGTCAGCAGGGTTATGAAAAACAGGCTGAACTTAATACACAGTTATGATGGAAAATATCAGAGATAATGCAGAGCCACAGGCTTGTCAAAAACCTGGTGTGCACAGAATCAGAAAGGAAGGTTGTTAGTGTCAGATTATCCAAAAGATCCTTCTTGGATCCTCCCTTTGGATAGTTTGTTCCAAAATCATCCTGTCGCAAGTGAAAACTCTTCTCTCCTCAGTGTGGCAAGTGAAACTTGAATCCAGAATGTGAGGGCTGGAGGCCTTAGCTAGTTGCTATTTCGCTTGATGATGTAAAAAGCAATAAAAAGGGCTGAGTAAACCTTCTTAATGCTGATCAGATAATTATGTAGAAATAAATAAATAAATAGTAAAAACATTTACTATTAGATCTTTTCCTTCTATTAACAATTTTGTTTCTTGATTATAGTGAAAGTGTCTAAGTAAATCAATTACGAGGCACAAGCATTTAGAATTAATTGTTCCTCCTCCTGAAATATTTAACAAGGACACATCATTGGAGAGAAGTTGGGTTTTCTCAGGTTCAATACCTACAGATGGTTTTATTTTACCTAATGTTCACTGTGTAGGGATTAGAGCCATACTTTTGTTACTGCAGACTTCTGCAAATTCCAAATGTTTTAATTATCATATTTCAATCAGTGGATACAAATCTCTTGACACAGTTTTCCTTTATTTGTTGTGGTTAAAAAAAGAATAGAAAAGTTGCCCAGAATGGCCACAAAACTTTGTCTGGTTCGTTGCACTTTAATTTGAAGAATTCTCATCCAGGTTTCCTTTGTAATTTTAAGAAATATCCATGGCTTTGGTATTTGTTAAAAAGCCCTGTCAAATTAAAATAATTATATTATAAAATAATTGACAATTTTCTTGTCTCTGGTGCTATGTTTTTTCTCTATTATGGAAACTACTAAGGAACTTTCTTTTAACTGAAGTCACCTTTCTCAAACTATGTTCCAAGAATAGGTGTACTGTCCTCAAAAGAAGTTGGGCAGGCATCTGCTCTCCACCAATAACTTAAGGAGTGTTCATGCTTTGTTGTCTTTTGGGGAGTCCCAACAGATGTGAGAATTTCACAAGGTCTGAGAATCACTCAGTAAAAAAACCTGCCCAATATTTTTAACCCATTGTTTCTCAAACTCAATCCATTTCCTAGTGAAATAGCTATAATATAATAATTATAATAATGTAATTATTTTAATATATTTAATAACTATATATATTAAATATATATATTTAATAATTATAATAATGTAATATATAATAGCTATAATATTTTGTTCATCTTTCACAGAACACATTTGGGGAAATGATGAGCTAAACAAGAACAGGGGTGGGAGGGGAATAAAAAGCATTTCTCTTCTTTTTCCTTGCCACTTTAGAGTTAGTTTTATATCATCTGTGATTTAAGAAGAGGCTAGAATTTTGAAGCTGGACAGGACATTAAGGGTTAATTGAGTGGTTGCCAGACTTTTTGATTTTTGAACTGGTAAAAAGACAGATATACTTTCACTATCAGGGTTCCATTACAGAGGACATAGTTGAATTGTTTGAGGATGTTCAAAGAGGATACAAAATCCCCATTGTTCATCACAACAAGGCATTTTAACATATTTATAAAATAAATGAATTTATGCAAGTAAGTCTATTGTTTTTATTTTTCTCTTTCACCATCAACCAATGAAAATTTCATCACAGGCCACTATTTGGGAGCCAATGCCCTAGCTTAACTGTTTATTTTGTAAATGAAGACACCCAAAGGCAGGAAGCTTAGTAACTTTCCCCTCATTGATGGCAGAACCAGGACAGGATTCAAGTCAGAATTCCATGTCTTGCCTTTTTTCCTACCTGGTGAACAGACTTCTCTACCCCAAACTACTAGTTACATTGTGCAGTATATGTGTGGATGCTACCCTTCTCGTGAATACAGTTTTTCTTGCAAATATCATAACCATTACCTTAATTTCACATTTCCCCAAGAACCTGTCCTATACACATACATACACAAATTATTGTAACTATGTATCTGTTTAGTTGTCATATATAGTTAAGATATATATTTTTTCTTATAAATAGCCATATATATATTTTTTAAGAAAAATATTTTTCCTAAAAATTTTTTAAGAATAGCCATGTATATATTTTATAAGAAAAATTATATATTTTATAAAATAAAATTATATATTTTATTTTACAAAAAATATTTATAAGAAAATATATATAAATTTTATAAGAAAAATTATTATTTTATTAAAAAATTTGTTAAATAAGATTTCATTTGTCCCTTGTCTTTGCTTATTTGCATACCTAGCCACATACTTTGTTATAGAAAATAAGATATTGGAAGTGTCTTTCTTACTTTTCAAAAGCTTAAAGTTAGAGACTATTACTAATGGATCTCTTTTCCTCGCTACCACTTAATGAGTATGTGTTTTGGTAAATCATTTACCTTTGCTAAACCTCATTTTTCTCATCTGTAAAAGGGGAATAATGATAACTATCTCATAGTGTTTTAGAATTAAATGAGATGAGATATAATATTAATTGGGTCATAGAAAAATGGATCAATATTTTAAAATATGTGCACTATAATTTGTGATCTTGTGTCCAAACTGACAAATCTCTTGAAGGGCAATACATTTAGGCATCATGTTCTTGGCAGAAAGGTGGGGCAAGGGAGTTAAGGGTTGCTCTACAGACAATGAGAGAAGACCTCTCCTGGGCTCTAGCCTCACCATCATCAACCAATGTTTGATTGCCAAGACCAAACATTGTTCTTTTCTATGGAAAGCTGCACCTTTGCCTCAGGATCAGCTTTCCCTGGGGATTGGTAAGGCCTCACAGTGCTTCCTGGAGAGATCCCCTTGTACTTGTTTTTCAGGAAGAGAATTAAGCCATAACATACAGGCCCTGAGAAGAATCACCGCATTGTTTTATACTTTTGAAAGCCCCTGTGCTCCAGCTACCTCTTGGAATCTTTATTCTTGGCACCACAGAACTTTTCTTCCCCCATTGCATACCAGGCTAAGATAAAAACCACAGAGAACAATATGTAGTGAAGGGAGCCAACAAAAGCTCATGGTGGGACATGAGGGGCTTGACATACCTCTTTGCAGAAACTCCTGTGTGTGGAAGATAGTAATCAGCCAGAAGGCGAAGGCTACTATTTCTAGCTAACTCTATCAGTCCTGAGGCATGTGTGAGGAAAATCACAGGGGAACATCCAAGATACAAGTGTAATCAGATAGCCTGAAGGCCTAAGGCTCTTGGGTGTGACTCTTGGCATGTGGCAGAGGGAAGAGGCAGCTGGCTCTTTGCCTCAGGTTCTTACCTGACAGGGTAGAAATCACGGATTCCCAGGACCAAAACCAGGGGCAGATGGTAATAATAACAATAACTCCATAGTTATTAATAACTCTTACCAAGATTTTTTGGGCTCAGATTGTCTGTGGTAATTTAGGGCTAAATATCTTTAATGTGGAAAATCTAAACTCTCCAAGGTCCCTATAAGCAGGTATTCTACCATTCTTATTTTACAGAGCATAAAATCGTGTTCAGAGTGTTTAAGTGATTTGCAGTCACACAGTCAGCAAGTGGCCAGAGGCTATACCCTTAACTTGTGTGTAATATCAGTTTCCTGCTTTATGGGAAGATAAGCTAAATTATTCATAACAATTATGAATTGTTATGAATTATATTATGAATTATTATGAATTGTTATGAATTATATTATTATATTCCATGTATATGCAGAGCACTGAGGCTAGGAAGACACAGCTTGGCACCTGTCTTCAAGAAGCTGACCAGTTAATGGAGGAGACAGGGATGTAAAGAAATAATTAGAGTGAGATTATCCTCCAATTTGGGTGAAGCACAAAGAACTTTGAGAACAGCCAGAAGGACCCAATCCAGCCTGGAGGGATCAAGAATTAGGAGAGGATAAAGTACTTAGTAGAGGCCTGGAAGACAAATATAAGTTGGGGCAAGGAAGAGGATGGCTGAGAGGTGAGAGCCCTTCCCAATAGAGACAGTTACATGGCCAGACTCCAGGTCAGCCCCCAGGTGTCTGTTCTCAGCTGGGTGTTAAAGTACTCAGAGAAGAAGCCAGGACTGGGAAGTCCACACAGGATGCAACTGTGTCTTCCTTGTCTCTTTCTGCCCTGACTCCCCAGGA